TTGCAAATTGTAATCCAAGAGATTCTGTGTACTGTCTTTTGGTCCAATAAGTAATATCTCTGTCTTATCCAAATTTAATTGGAGAAAATTATTGGTCATCCAAACTTTTACATTTTTAACACACTCTGTTAGCTTAGATAATTTAGAAGTTTCATCTGGTCTTGTTGAGATATATAGTTGAGTATCATCAGCATAACAGTGGAAACTAATCCCGTATTTTCTGATAATAATACCAAGGGGCAACATGTATATCGAAAATAGCAGAGGAATTAGGACAGATCCTTGTGGCACTCCATATTTTACTGGTGATAATTGAGATGACTCCGGAATATTTAGATCGGGTGGCGTCTGGTTATTTGTTAATCTAGCCACTGTGCTAAATAAAAACCTAGGATTGTTTTGGTTATTTTCTATGAGTTTGTGGATATGCTCGGCCCTGGCAGCTTTTAGAGCCTGTCTATAGCTGGACATACTGTTTTTCCACGCAATTCTAAAAACTTTCAATTTAGTTTTTCTCCATTTGTGCTCAAAACTGAGTTTTTTCCTTGAGAGAATTGGTATTACTGTTGTACCATGGCGCAGTACGTTTTTCTCTAACCTTTTTCAATTTGATGAGGTAGTTAAAGACTACACTGCGCTTTAACCGATAAATCATGAGATAGTAAGTGAACTGAAAAGGTTAATAAGAGACTTAACTTACCACTGCCAGTATCTTTGCTGGGAAGTGTGGTCTTCTGTTTGGTCAGTTCAGTAGGCCTACCCACATTTGGAAAGGGTAATTTGGCGCTCCTTGTAACCACGAGAGCTCCCCAATCCAATCTCACCAGTAGGAAAAATTTGACGTTACTTAAACTTTCTTGCTTCCAACGTCTTTAAAGTTTGTTTGCTGAAGACCGCGCGACTGGCGCAAAGCGTCACGTATGTCAGTAGCGCAAGAGCTAATAATTGTTGTTATGTAATTAATTTATTGTAAAAAATATATATATATATATATAAATTTTTTTTTTGTTTGTTTGCCTTACAAAATGTCCATTAGACGACGATACAAATTATATTTATCCAAACCGGTTTCGAAAAGTACAGAGTGGTACAGAGCACCATTTACTGAACACCAGAACACACTGTATTTTCATAGTATCCTATAGTAACTCACTGATTATCATTGTAGTTAATACTACATTATGATATAGTATAAATTAATAAAGTGTAGTAAATACTGTAATATACTACAGTATATCTACAGTTTACTATAGTAAAAACTTAGTTACGAACTCACTATAGTTAATACTAGAGTATGCCGTAGTTACGAACTCGCTATAGTTAATACTAGAGTATGCCGTAGTTACAAACTCGCTATAGTTAATACTAGAGTATGCTGTAGTATAATTGAACAAAGCTTAGTAAATACTATAATATACTACAGTATTAATAATAAAAACTTAATTTACTACAGTTACAAACTCACTATAGTTAATACTAGAGTATGCTGTAGTAAATATTATAATATACCACAGTGTACTACAATTTATTACATTTTACTATAGTAAATACTTTACTACAGTATTTTTTCATGTGGGTTACTAGGTGTTTATAAAGAAAACAACCACCTTAACAACATTACCACTAAGGCTGTAATTTTCTAAAAGCTTTATGTTTATGAGACTAGCAGAAGTTAGTAGCCTTTCACCTGTCAGTCTGCTGTTTATTCACTGGCAGGGACTGTGCTGAAGTCAATTCTGACCGTCCAGTTGCATGTTATAAATGGATTCTGCATCCAAACATTGCAGTTTTTTCTTAGTAGATCCTAATATGTTCAGCAACGTGTATTTAAATATCAGTTTTACCAAGAAATAAACTCTATTCTCGTCTATTTTAATATTTCTATGAACGTTTGTGATTTTAGAGAGCAGCGTGTGAACGGGACTTTTATTTTGGTTTTGTGGAGTGACGTCACCGGGCTGCGCTGCGTTCCTGCATCTGTTGTGATTCGGATGAGAAAGGTTTGTGTTTTTAAGACTTTAAAGGGTTTAAATAGATATTAAACATTCGGTCTATTTAGTTGTTTTACAATAACTTTAAAACGAATCAGTTGTTATTTAATGCAACATGAATGCTTATCTAACATTAATAAATATTTTTTTGTGTGCTTGTAAACCGCGTCCACTTATGAAGAACAGAAAAGGTGCGTCTCATTTCGCTCCATACATCGTGAATCAGTTTATCATAAACACGAATTCAGTCACTGGCGAGTAACGTTAGTGATGAGAGAAACGGGGCTAATCGAAACTTCGAGTCATTTGAATCAATTGCTTCGCAAACGATTCAGTGATTCGAATCGCTCGATTCACCGCACGCTTACAACACCTGCTGCTCAAAACAGTGTAAATGCAACAGAACAACAAACATGAGTAATGACAACTTTTACAAATAAATAGCAAATGTTTTAATGAAAGTGAAATATATTAAATTTAATTTACAAATCAAGACTAAATGTAAATAATAAATGCCTAAAAAAAGAAGGGCCTCTTTGATTATTTTATGAATTTGTAGCACTAATTTACCCCATGATTTACTCACCCTCAAGCCATCCTAGGTGTATATGACTTTCTTTTTTCAGACAAATACAGTCAGAGATATATTACAAATTGTCCTGGATAGGCATGTGACGGTATCAAATTTTCATGTTGCCATAATTGCTGAAGCTTTTTTTTTTTTATCACGGTATACAGTATTATCACGATACTGAAATAAGTTGAAAAAAGTGTTGTCATAATACAGTATAACAGGTTTAATAACTTTTTTCTTATTTCAACAAGAACTGAAGATTTAAATACAATAAACAACAAAAATGTTTAAAGTAAACATGTTTCAAACAGATTAAAGTGCAAAAGAATTATAAAGAACAATAGTTAACACGTTACAATAAGATCTCATTAGTTAACCTTGGTTAATGCATAAACCTGAACAATGAGCAATAGCTACATTTGTTTCAGACGCTATTATTCTTTGTTAAAGAGAAATACAACTGTTAGTTCATGTTAGCTCGAGTTCATTAAAAATTACAGTTAAAACTTTTGATTTCAATAACGTGTTATTAAATGTTAAAAGTAGCTAAGATTAACAAATGATTTAGAAGAATTTTTCATTGGCAGTTTATGTTAACTAATGAATTAACTAATGGGGCCTTAATGTAAAGTGTGACTGAACAATAAAGAATCTCTCAAACAATATCTAGGGCATGTTGTAGTCCAGATTAAAAAGGAAAAAAGTTTGAAAATAAATAGCCTATCAAGTCTTTGGTGTTGTATTTGGTGAGCGAATACACAAATCTGAATGGCTGTTTAAAACATTTAAATACTGTTCAGAAACTTAAAGTAGTGCAGCTGCTTTTGTTTACGGCTGCATTCCTGCTGTTCCATCAGCGCCATCTGCTGACAGAGAGTGAATGTGCGCTTTCATTCAGCGCGTCTCCTGTACTCGTTCCGCAGTGCGCTTCCTTCATCCATGTTGGGCTTGTTTACATCAAGAGTGCGCATGTGTCTGTGACGCAGCATACAGCAGTGTTGTGCATTTTAACCAGTTAATGGGAAAATAATTCTTAAAATGTGTTCAAAAACTTCACGGTATTTTGAAGTACCCACGATAACAATATCGTGCATGTTTATTATCGTGATATATAGTATTACTGGATACCGGGACATGTCTAGTCCTGGCTCTTCCAAGCTTTATAACAGAAGATTTCGAAGTCCAGTAAAACTAGTGGTAGGCAGAGCGAGGCTTCATGAAACACTGGTGAAACAGTCGAAGCAAATGTGCCGAGGCTTTGAAACAATTTGTCACCCGTCTCTACGGTGACACCTAGAGATTTGACATTTTTGGTCATGTATAAAATTAGCATTAATAAAAGACATCAAGCCACAACGCCTGGCATTTTTTACATATAAAGATTTTTATTGAAATATATTCAATGTTCTGCTGCATTAACTCCAATATTATACTTTGTGGAGTTAGGTTAAGACAGATGTGCGATTGTGTGGTTTGTTCCCAACCCTGTCGATCAAAAGCAGATTTGGGTCTCGAAACACTTGTGAAACACCCCGATGCTTTGATTCGCCTTTGTTACGTGACATGGGTGTTTCAGATCACACTTCGGAGCAGTGTTTTGAAACATCTGCGCTTCGGGATCTCGACACCGTGTCGAAATGTCAGTTTCGCGTCAGCCATCCCTAAATAAAGCTGCGTCCATACATCATAAAAACAGTCACGTCACTTAAGCTTAAAAAGTGTCCCACATGGCTCCAGGGGGTTAATGAAGGCCTTCTGAAGTGAATGATGCGTTTTTTGTAAGAAAAATATCCATATTTAAAACTTTATAAACTGTAATCTCTAGCTTCCGCTAACTGTCGTACATGCGTTCACTAGAGAGTGGCGTTCTAACAGATGATGTAGGACATACACGCGTCTCTAGGTGAATGTGGAAGCGTAGAGGAGAGAGCAACACAAAGCACCGGTCATGAATTAGAAGTACAAAACAAGGATTTGTAAAGAAAAATGTTGGGGGATTTCGATATAAGCCAAGCCAATTGGTTTTCCTTTGCTGTAAACAAATTTTGGTTCTCGCGAGACTAGCATGTTCTTACCGGAAGCTTACGCTACACCTACGTCATCCACTGGAACACCACTCTCTCGTGAACACATGTATGAGTGGAAGCTAGAGACTACAGTTTATGAAATGCATCACTTCAGAAGGCCTTTATTAACCACTTTAATATAATTCCGACTGTATTCATCTGAAAGAAGAAAGTCGTACAGATGTTACTCAACCAGAATAATACTTGAAAGGTGTATTTGCTGCCTTTTAACGCTAAGTGGCACGTTAACCACAGACTTTGAAAAGTTAGAACAGGAACATGTCGGAGCTCATTCCCGCACTCATGCACTCGTTCATGCACCTAATTTTTTGAGGTTCTACCTAAATGTAAGCATAAAATTTATTGTGTATAAAAATAAATCAATGTGTTTTAGAACTGCAGAATACACACACAAATCTCCGCATTTATCTCAAAAAAGCAAGTTTATTACAGATTTGAACCTGTGTAGTTGAACGGCATTGACACTGTTGACCAACGCTGTACCACTCAACTACAAATTAATTTTCTGCGAATGGCCCAGAAGTACAGAACCCTTTTCCAGCGGCTTGTCCGCGCGGGCACGCGAGAGAGAAGCACTAGTTATCTGGTTAGTTAATTAGTCTCATTTGGTAATATTTAAAAAAATCAGGGGCATCATGCACATGAGGATTCTAATTCCCTTGGTTTAAGTGTCATTGTTTTTCATTTAAAATGAAACATTTTACACGTTTCTTAATTTTTGTAGTTAAATTACGGGAATTAATTCTGTGCTCTTACGTTTTAACTAATATGTCATGTGTCATGAACAGGGCTGGTTAGTAAACTGGAATAGATATGTCATAAAAAGACAGATAACAAGTATACGTAACCTGCTGGAATGCTTTATTGAATTATTAAATTTAAGTTTTAAACCTTTTATCTGTGACATTAACTCTTTCCCCGCCGGTGTTTTTTAAAAAAGTTGCCAGCCACCGCAAGCATTTTTGATAATTTTTACAAACATTTCATGGCTTCCAGAATATTTTGTTGTATGAGTATCTGAACATGCAATACAGCAAAATAAAGGAGCCTCTACTTTTAAACAAAAAAATCTGTTTTATTCTAGCTTCAAGCTATTTTTCCAACACTTAGTAGGTAAGTTTCATAAAAAAACAACATTTTGATCAAAAAGCTGAGAAAATCCCATTTTTATCAAAGACTACAATTGGATTCGATGATTAAAGCATGGATGCAGTAGATTACTTCCCTCAATGCATCCAAAGCTTCACAGTCCTTTACCACTTCCGGGATCAGCATTTCACTCTGTAACATTAGGCAGTTTTCATTTATATGCTGTTTATTGTTGATGATCACATTATTTTTCATATGCATCTGTTTACATATGAGATCGCTCGTTTCTGTGTCTTACTCGCCTGTGTTTTTGATCGGGAGATTGTGGACTCAGTCAGGAGATGTGTAATAGTGCCCCCAAGCGTATAACAGTGAAGACACGGAAACCCGGAAAATTCCGTGTTTGGTGGGGAAAGAGTTAAAGGTGACTAAATAAATATGCACATCTTTTTCATCAGGCAGACTCAACATATTTAATTTTTGTGTGTGTGCGTGTTCGCCTGTTCGGGAAGTTGCAGTGACAGAAACAGCGACATTCCAGTTAAAGTTTTAAGGGAGTTTTATGTTTATGCTATTAAAAAAATGTAGGCTAATCTGGCCAAAGTTTTATAAATATAATTTTGTTTTATAAATAAATGTTCATTTAAAAGCAGCCTATGATTGGCATATTATGTTATCGTTACCCCTTATGACTCTGACGAGCAAAGCAACTGTATTTAAAATTTTTTTTTTAATTATTATTAGTATTATTAGATTTTCGTTTTTTTTTTTCTTGATCTTGATTAGTTGGCTAAGGTCAGGCATACACTGTGCGATTTCATCAAGGTACCAACTCGCACTGTAAGAGCAGATAGCATGCGATGTAAAGTCAAATCTCATGATTTACGTGCTCAAAATGTATGGTCTGATTGTCGAGCACAATTTATGTGCTCACACTATACGTGTGAAATACTCGAGTTGCGCAGATGATGACACGGTGTATACGGACGATAGCCAGAGATATCTATATAAAAAAAAAAGCATCAGCTATCTGATATCGAGAGGATTTGGCATTTCCAATTAATGAATTAATTTAATACAACATTTACCATATTTTCCAGAAAGTTGCACCAGGTCAGGAAAAAAAAACTCATAAGTTGCATTAGTGTATAAGTGTAACGGGGCTGACGAGACGTGTGGATCCATCTGCAAGCTTTTATTTAAGAGACTTGGTCATAACAGGCAGGGTCGAACAATGGCAAACAGGTATATTGCGGGCA